TGTGTGTGTGTGTGTGTGTGTGTGTGTGTGTGTGTGTGTGTGTGTGTGTGAGAGAGAGAGAGAGAGAGAGAGAGATTTTTGGAAATACAAAGAAATGAGCAAAAAAGTCTTCCCACATGTTTCTACAAGAAACAATGTTCCCGAGAAAAAGTCCTTTATGGCAGCCTATATACAGAAGTTGGTTCTGAACTTCAAAAACCTATTTCTTCCCTTCGTTTTGATTTTATACACGCACAGGAAAAAAAATCCATGGAAATAAACCCTGAAGAGGATGATGGGAAGGGGGTAAAAAAGGTTAAGAAAAAAAAACAACAACAACCTGTCAGACTTAGATCTGAGTTTTAAAATCTTCTCCAAGATTTTCCTTCCTCTGGGAGAATAATCTTCTCACTCCAAAAATAAATATGCTCTTGCCTTCTTGGGATGAGGGGGCTGCTGGCCAGGTGGGTCGGGGTGTGGGCTAGGGGCAAGCGGGTGAAGCTTATAAACAAAAAAATGCCACGTGCATATGATCAGAGACCCCGTAGTGGCGGGACTGGGGGACCCGCCTGCCCTGGGAGGCCCTCCCGCCCGGGTGAAGGTGAGGGCAGGAGTAGACAGGACCCTTCCCAGTGCCCCCACACCCACACTGGGGCCTCAGCGAGGCTCCCTCATTGCTGGCATTCGAATGAGAAAGTAAACATTGAACCCAAGATTTTGGGGGTGGTGGGGTGTTGAGGTGGCGGGGAGAGCCGCGGAGAAATTCCTGCCTGGGACCAGCTTGGCTCCACCAGGGTCTGCTAGGGGATATGGCGCCCCCAGGCTGCCGGGGAAGGAACAGATGGGGAGGGTCTTCTCCTCACTGAGTCACCTCTGCCAGCAGAGAGGGGGCCTTGTGTAGTGTTCTGAGGTCAGAGCCGCGTGGCCCGACCCCCTCCTCTCTGCAGCACCTGGCCCAGCGCCCTGGCCCGGGGGTTCCGGAACGTGGGCCGACACGCCACCACACCGAGGCCTCTGCAGCCCCCGCTGGGGGTCCCCGCTCTCTGATTCTGCTTTCACATTTCAACGGTTAAAACGGCTTTTCTTATGACGAGGAAGAGAGTAAAGAGAAGACAAAACAACATAGCAGCATTCATGGAAAGAGGCTGATGGGGAAGACGGGAAAAGAGAAGGCCAGAGACAGAGAGACAGAGAGTGAGAGACACGGACAGAGAGTTTACGCTGGAGCTCAACAAAAATCCTGAAGGGAGCATTTCAAAAAACCAAAGAGACATGGGCTGAGAGACAGAGAAGCCCTTTCCCACTGAGGGGCTGGAGCTGCGCTGGGTCCTGGGGGTAGTGTTGGGGGCGCCAGGCCCTGACATGGCTGCTGGGTAGGGGACAGCACCTGAAATGGGGGTGGGAGGTGGGGCTGGGCCCCGGGGCCCTGGGGTCCATGCTCGGGAGCCCCAGGGCGGCGCGGGCAGCCTTCCACAGGGCCTAGTTGAGGGTCCCCCGGCAGTTCTCAGAGCCACACAGGCAGGGGATCTTGACGTCCTCGATGGGGAACTTGTAGTCGTAGGTGATCTCCTCGTTGACATTGATGTGCTGCTTCGAGTAGATGACAATCTTCTTCTGCGACTCCACCGTGATCACCTTGGCATAGCAGTTGGGCTGTGGGCGAAGCAGGAGGGGAGGGTGAGCCGAGGACTCACCCGGTACCTCGCCCAGGCCCACCGCCACGAGGCCCCCCGAAACCCGACGGAGCTCCATGCCCGAGGCCTGACAAGTGTGCCGCACGACCCCATGCCCACTGGCCACCTGCTCGAGCCTCGGCTGCCCTATCTGGGTGATAAGAACCCCCCCCTGCCTCTGATACTAAGTAAGAATGATGATGATGGTAATAATAATAAAATGTTCCCCAGGACTCCAATTTCCATTTTATACTACAGGTGACTCCCCAAATTCTATTCCTAGCCCAGGCCTCACTTCAGAGCTCTAGAGAGGGGGTCAGCAAACACCGGCTCCTCGCTGCCTGTTTTAGCAAGCAGACCTTATTGGCACACAGCCATCCCCGTTCATTTACATGCCATCTACAGCTGCTTTTGTTACAATGACAGATAAAAGTAGTTGCTAAGAGATCCTCTGGGCCTCAAAGCCAAAAATATTTACTACCAGGCCCTTTACAGAAAAGGTTTGCTGGACCCTGCTCCAGACCCAGAAATCCAAGTACCTGCTCGATATCTGCCTCTGGCAGCTCCAGGACACATTTTTGCCTCCGTAAACTCAAACCTAAAACTCAAGGGAGTGGCCATGCCACGTGTCCAGGCCCCCAGCCACCCGCCTCCCGCACCTTCCTCCACTGATGCTGGATCTGGCCACGGCCACGCCCAGTGGGTTCTACCCCCAAAGACCTCTTGATTCTGTCCACTGCTCTCCACCTGCACTGCCACAGCCCCAGTCAGGCCCCGCTCATCACTCGGCTGGACTTCAGCGGCTCCCACTGCCTCTCAGTCCTCTGAGAAAATCTACTCCTGACCCAGCAGCCAGGGAAATCCTGTCACCCCATGGCTCAAAACCTACCAGTAGCCTGCCTGGCTTTTAGAGAAACTTCTCAGCTCTGCCGGCAAGGCTGAGTGATCTGGCCACCCCAACCCTGCCCACCTCATCTCTTACCTGCCCTCTCGCCCCCTAGTCCATCCCTGCTGCCTGCTTTGCTGTCCCTCAAACAGGTGTTCTCCCCTCCAGGGCCTCCCTGAGCAGAATGCGTGCCCCACTCACTGCCACCTGGGTGATTCCCTCCAAACCCTCAGATCCCACAGGAGAGGCAAGCCAAAGTCCCTACTGGCCCAGGTGGTGATCCAGTCACGGTTGGGAGAGCTAGCTGGGTCAGCACACTCAGAGGGCCTGCACTCAGGGGCATATCTGGTTCTCCCGACAAGCTACAGGGAGGGACTGCTTCCATCCAGATCAGGAAACCCGGGCACTGAGACATTACGTAACCAGACCATGGTTCCACTTGCTGAGTAGCGGTGTCGTGACTCGAAACAAAAAGAGTTTGGCATCTGCTCTGGAACTCGCCTGCCCCGTCGGAAGCTCCCCGTGTTTATCTTCAGCATGAGACTCACCCTCGTTACCAACACTCGCTGCCCCCCGGGCCAGCGCCATCCACCACCATCATCGCTAGCCACGTGTGACTATTTAAGTTCAACCAAATTAAATGAAAAGCTCAGTTCCTCAGCGGCCCTGGCCACATTTCAAGCGCTCAACCCAACACGCAGCTTGTACCACGCGTCAGTGGACAGCGCGGACGCAGAGCATTTCTGCCACTGCACAAAGTTCTAGTGGACACCCCTGCCCCAGAACGAAAGCTGTGAACTGTGAACTGCGCGGACCACTTCTTGAGCACCTTGGGTCTCACTATGCCCATTTTTCAGAAGAGAAAATTGAAGCTCAGGGGAGAAAGACTCCGTATGCAAAGGCTCACCGCCCACCCCCCGCCCCCGGCCCCCATCACCCGGAGGCCACGCCGGTTCTGTGCCAGAAGCCTCTGGGGGCAGCAGCGGCCCCGTCCCAGGCACTCACATTGCAGCTGTGGTTGATGAAGCGCGCGAAGTTGCCGCACTTGGTGGCATCGATGATGGTGTCGTGGTCCACCCGGAACATGTAGCTGCTGCCGATGCCCTCATCCTCGTAACGCTTCTCCCGCATGTCCGCGATCACCTGGCCGGGAGAGGGCCTCAGTCTGGGCTAGGCTGTCCTGCCCCCACCCCTATGCCCAGGCCACCGCGCAGTGCCCACCTGGCGGATGTTCTGGCCCACGTACTCAATGACCATCTCGTCGGCCGCGATGGGCTCCATGGCAAACAGGCCCCAGTCGTGAATGTGGCTCTTGCAGAACTTGAGCTTCTTCTTCCGGAACTGGGGGAGGGAAGGAGCTGAGAGGTGAAAGCCCTGGTCTTAGTCCCGCAGCCCCCCCCCCCCCCCCCCCCCCCCCCCCCCCCCCCCCCCCCCCCCCCCCCC